GCGCTTTGACTTTGCTGGCGGGAAAATCTGGGGCCTGTGAGCCGCAGAGCCATAATGAGTTCTAACTCCACAGGAATTCCTTTATATCGTTTTGCCGTCAAGTGCTTTCTGCCAACCATGTTTCCCTTGTCCAGATCATGCCACCTCACGGCACGCTTAGATTTCATTTTTTCTGATCATTCGGTTGTTGCCTCTACCACCCACAGCGTCATTTTCACGGCTTCAAGGCAGACCCTGTTTCCACAAGAGCGAAAAACATTTTTTATTTTGAACGTAAAGTAGCCAATGAGCATGACAGGCATATCCATGCTCTTTAGTAGTCTGCTTGTTTTTTGCCTTATTTCTCTCTTATGATTTTATTTTTTTGGCTTATACTTGGAGGCTCTAGGCACAGAGACAAGGAGGGCCACAGAAGCCATAATATGAAATTTGCTACCGGGCGAGATCAGATGCGGGAGCAGTGAGCAAGTGTTTGAAAACTTTGGAAGCTCCAGTTTCATTTGACAGAGCGTGGGCGGGGCGTCGTCGTTCTGACGTGTGAGTGTCATGTTGACTAAGTTCGCAGTGTTGCTTTTTTGGGTGCCTGCTGCAGCTCAGAAGCTGACAGCCTTTGACGCAGCTTCTGCTTCCAGCGTCTATTCCACAAAATCCTTTGGGGCGGATCTGGCAACGCTTGAATCATCTGGGCGCAGCTGTTGATGTGCTCAGTGCTGCAAAAGCCATGTGTTGGTGCATTTCTGTCTTGTGCCAGGTATTGGTGCAGCGCTGGGTCCGGAGACTTGGGAAAGGCAGGTTTTGTAATCACATTGTATTGCGGATGAACGTTTGGCAGGAAGCATGGCCCGAGCGAAATTGTTTCTTGGACAGGATCATTCACGGCCAGACGGCACTTGCTCGGGGTGAATCTTCGTTGGAGCTACGCTCCAGCAGAGGTGAAGGTACTGACGAGTTTGGACGGGGGCAATTTTGAAGAAGCTGCGGGATGGCGCCAGATCGCCCGCAGCGAGCCAAGTTTCGAAGAGACAATCATGTTTGCTGCTCCCGTTGCAGCGAAAGCAGTCAAGGTTCTGATGCGGGGAGCCAAACCATGGGGTTACTTTGGCTTGTCAGCTGCTGCCGGTGTGAGCGCGCCTTACTCCTTCATGCTGGTCAGTGGCGGCCCGGCAGTTCGCGAGCAGTGTGTGGTGTCTTCTGGCCACGGCCTGACCGCAGAGCCGTGCTTGGATGCGATTGTGGCAGGAGATGGCCGTGATGTGTTCACATTTACCAGCGAAGGATCGTTGCAGACTGCATCCGGGTATTGCGTGCGCCTGGCTGGCGACAAGCTTGAATTGGAAAAGTGTGACAGCAGCACAGGGGTGTGGGAAGCGAGCGCAGATGGGCAAGTCAAACAGGGGAACATGTGCTTGGCTGTGGATGGCTCTGCTGTGCATGCCTTGGACTGCGACGAAGCAACATCTCTCGGCGCGAGCAATTCAAGTGGCTGTGCCCGCCTATGACCCAAAGGCCGTGGTTGCTGTGCGTAGCTTGGGTGAACTCTTGCGCGGCAGCCTCGCCAGGCAAGGCAAGCTGCTGAAGGAGTTGCAGGCTCTGCTGCCCAAGCTTGCCACCTGCAAAGCGAAAATCAGCTTGGCGAGCCTGCCGAACCGAGCTTCTGGATTGCAAGGAGCGGCAGGGATCATATCCCTTGCTTCGCGCAATGCCCTGAGTTCACACGCTGACAAGGAAAGTTTGGCAGGCAAAGTGGGGGAGCACTTTGGGGTGAGCCAGCATGAGCTCAGCTCAACGGCGGCCGCTTCCGCAGAAGCTTTGGCCGCCTTTCGCAAAGCTGCTCGCTGAATGCTTCTGATTCATTACTAGTTGTGACAGCTTGTTGTGAGCAGTTGCCCCAAGAGCGGCAAGCGCCTGGTTTGGTTTGTGGTTGAGCAAGGAATGCAAGATAAGAACTTGTTCTTGCTTAGTTTGCCAAAACAGTAAAACAGTTTCTTTCAGCTGGGCGATAGCAAATTTCGTTATTGCTCTGCTCTTGCTGGGACAAATGCGCTTGCAAACTTTTTTTATTTTGTTGGCAGAATAGTCATTACCAAGTGTTTGATACTTTCTACCGAGAATAAGAAATTTAAGTTGGCATTCCTGGAGCATGAAATTTTGTAATGTTTTTGCGATGGTGTTTTTGGATCCGGGTGAAAAAACTGACATTCTTCAAAATTCAAGGTGTGCAGCACTCTGGGGCTCATAAGTTTTGGCTGATATTGTTTTTTTTTCACATGAGCAGCATCAAAAACATCCATAAAGGGATTTAGTATTCGGGTTCATGTAGGGAACCTTCCGCGAAAGCAAAACCTCCACGCGCGAAAGCCGTGCGAAAGCTCCGCGAAAGCAGTGCGCCAAGGTCACGCCGCGAAAGCGGCCGCGAAAGCAGATGACTAGTGTAACATCATTTACGACGAATATTTTCCGCGAAAGCCGCCGCGAAAGATATTGCGAAAAAAATCCCGCCGCGAAAGCCAAAACTGTGCGCGCGAAAGCACCGCGAAAGCCGTCGCGAAAGCTTTTCTATAGTAGAACCAGATCGCTACCCGGTTTACGACGCCGCTCACATGTGGCTTCAATAGCCGCAATGCTGGCATAAAGTGGTTCAAAGAGCATTCAGTCAAGTTTGGGGGCAAAGACACTGTGCTCTTGTGCCTCAGGTATTGGGCCAGCCTGGTGTCAGGTTGCTTTGATTCAACTTCGCATTGGAATCTTTGGAATTGACATTGTGTTGCCAGCCTGAGGGAACAATTCGCTGCCACGGCTGGAAGACAGACGCTTTTTGAGGTTTGCTCAGTTTGCTCTGGATTCCCGTCTCTAATGCTTTTTGCTTGATTTGCCTCCTGCGCATGACAAAATGGCAGCACGCAGCACGCGACCAGCACGAATTCTCTTCTCAAGGTTTTTTTTGTCGAAGCATCGTTTTTTTGTACAGCATCCAGCCGTTGGGACTTGGATAAGAAAAGAACAGCACCGGAACCACTTTTCCAGGAATTCGGGCAATTTCAGCTATCTTAATTTCGTGCGCTTTCGTGCGCTGACTTTAGGTGACATTTGCTTCGAACAAAATTGCAAGAAAGTGCAGGATTTGGTTGATGAATTGTGTGATTTTGAAGCTTCAAAATGATCGGAAGGTGGCCATTGTTGCCTTTGCAGGCTAGATTTTGAACATTTAGAATGGTTTCAGTAGAATGGTTTCAGCAGCTTTTCCATCAGTTTTGTTCGAGGATTGTAGGAACCAATTTCGTGCGCTTTCGCGCGCTCTATCTTTTCCACTCATTCGATGAACTTCAGGTGTGTAATCCAACATTTCCTGAAAATTCTTGAAATTTGGAGATAAATGATTGTTTAAAAAAGATTTGCGCCAAGTTTACTGATTTCGTGCAACCTTGTGCAATTTCGCGGTTTTTCCGGGCCTCATTTTTTTGGTAGTTCAAGGTTTCTGCCTTCACTGTCATGTGTTGCCCGGCTGCACAAGAAAGATAGACATTTGTTTGACGACGTGTCTTTTCAAAATGGATGCGGAGCAAAATCGGTTTTTGCTTCGATCCATGTTTCCCTTGTCCAGATCATGCCACCTCACGGCACGTTTAGATTTCATTTTTTCTGATGATTCGGTTGTTGCCTCTACCACCCACAGCGTCATCTTTTCATTTTTTCAAAGCCTTCACGGCTTCAAGGCAGACCCTGTTTCCACAAGAGTGAAAAACATTGTTTTATTTTGAACGTAAAGTAGCCCATGAGCATGACAGGCATATCCATGCTCTTTAGTAGTCTGCTTGTTTTTTGCCTTATTTCTCTCTTATGATTTTATTTTTTTGGCTTATACCTGGAGGCTCTAGGCACAGAGACAAGGAGGGCCACAGAAGCCATAATATGAAATTTGCTACCGGGCGAGATCAGATGCGGGAGCAGTGAGCAAGTGTTTGAAAACTTTGGAAGCTCCAGTTTCATTTGACAGAGCGTGGGCGGGGCGTCGTCGTTCTGACGTGTGAGTGTCATGTTGACTAAGTTCGCAGTGTTGCTTTTTTGGGTGCCTGCTGCAGCTCAGAAGCTGACAGCCTTTGACGCAGCTTCTGCTTCCAGCGTCTATTCCACAAAATCCTTTGGGGCGGATCTGGCAACGCTTGAATCATCTGGGCGCAGCTGTTGATGTGCTCATTGCTGCAAAAGCCATGTGTTGGTGCATTTCTGTCTTGTGCCAGGTATTGGTGCAGCGCTGGGTCCGGAGACTTGGGAAAGGCAGGTTTTGTAATCACATTGTATTGCGGATGAACGTTTGGCAGGAAGCATGGCCCGAGCGAAGTTGTTTCTTGGACAGGATCATTCACGGCCAGACGGCACTTGCTCGGGGTGAATCTTCGTTGGAGCTATACGCTCCAGAAGAGGTGAAGGTACTGACGAGTTTGGACGGGGGCAATTTTGAAGAAGCTGCGGGATGGCGCCAGATCGCCCGCAGTGAGCCAAGTTTCGAAGAGACAATCATGTTTGCTGCTCCCGTTGCAGCGAAAGCAGTCAAGGTTCTGATGCGGGGAGCCAAACCATGGGGTTACTTTGGCTTGTCAGCTGCTGCCGGTGTGAGCGCGCCTTACTCCTTCATGCTGGTCAGTGGCGGCCCGGCAGTTCGCGAGCAGTGTGTGGTGTCTTCTGGCCACGGCCTTAACGCAGAGCCGTGCTTGGATGCAATTGTTGCAGGAGATGGCCGTGATGTGTTCACATTTACCAGCGAAGGATCGTTGCAGACTGTGTCCGGGTATTGCGTGCGCCTGGCTGGCGACAAGCTTGAATTGGAAAAGTGTGACAGCAGCACAGGGGTGTGGGAAGTGAGCGCAGATGGGCAGGTCAAACAGGGGAACATGTGCTTGGGTGTGGATGGCTCTGCTGTGCATGCCTTGGATTGCGACGAAGCAGCATCTCTCGGCGCGAGCAATTTCTTTCAAGTGGCTGTGCCCGCCTATGACCCAAAGGCTGTGGTTGCTGTGCGTAGCTTGGGTGAGCTCTTGCGCGGCAGCCTCGCCAGGCAAGGCAAGCTGCTGAAGGAGTTGCAGGCTCTGCTGCCCAAGCTTGCCACCTGCAAAGCGAAAATCAGCTTGGCGAGCCTGCCGAACCGAGCTTCTGGATTGCAAGCAGCGGCAGGGATCATATCCCTTGCTTCGCGCAATGCCCTGAGTTCACACGCTGCCAAGGAAAGTTTGGCAGGCAAAGTGGGAGCACTTTGGGGTGAGCCAGCATGAGCTCAGCTCAACGGCGGCCGCTTCCGCAGAAGCTTTGGCCGCCTTTCGCAAAGCTGCTCGCTGAATGCTTCTGATTCATTACTAGTTGTGACAGCTTGTTGTGAGCAGTTGCCCCAAGAGCGGCAAGCGCCTGGTTTGGTTTGTGGTTGAGCAAGGCATCTGCCTAATGAACAGATGTTCATTGCTACATAACAATTTGATTTCTTCTTTTGGCGTTGTTGTGTGAAATTCAGTGAGGTTGGGTTTCATATTTGTCACGAAACGGATAAAGGTTTTATTGTTTAGTTACCTTGGCAAACCTGGTGTGATCCAATCATGATTGTTTTGATGCCTTGCTTTTCTTGATATTGCTGAGTAAAGCCCGTTCTTGTCTTTGGGAAAAGCATGTCGTTGGCTGTTGCAAGCAACAAAGTGGAAGTTGAAAACGGCGCAGCTGGCGGCATGGACATTTTTGGCGCAAAGGAGTCTCTTCATAGAAATGCTTGCATCGAAGGGCTTTGTTGCGCCCAGGGATCTTTTGTGTGTAACGGGGCCTGCGTTTGGAGCATCCAGCGGTGGAAGCATGACGTATTCTCTTGTGTTTCGTTTGGTGCTAGTGCTGACCTTGGCTTCCCCTATGAGCTGTTTGAAGCTGTTGCCACCAGGCTGGTCCTGCCCCTGCACAGCGCAGTTTGAGATTCAGAAGCGTATGGAGCCACCTCTGCCCAGGTATCAAATCGGCTTTGCTAGGTGCTGCTGCTGACCAAGCAGATTTCACTGTAAACATAGTGCCGCCCCAAGAAAACCCGCGTGACACAGAACGGGTTTCTGTGGAAAAGCGCTTGGGGTGCGTGTCCATTTCTGTGTTTTTCAAAAGGAGTTGGAGGCATTGCTGCAGGACGGTTTCTAGTTGTAGATGGGGTCTCAGGCATCGTTCTTGCTTGTCAGAATGAGAAAAAGCTAGCGGCCGCGGATGTCGAACACCTTTCCATGTTGCAGCAGAAGATGCTGCGAGCAGAAGAGCCGCAGATTGATGAGATGGTGTCGCAAGCTTTTCTGGGGAAAAAGGCGCTTCTATGAAGTAATGCCTTGTCACTTCTTGTCCCATCCGCAAGCAACATTGCGCCGAGTGCCTCAGCATCACCTTAGACATAGAATGTGATGGTATTGCTACTTTTGCTTAAGTAAGTTTCCTGATGCTTGTGTAGGGAGATGATCGCTTGCAAAGAAGCGCGATTTGACGGGAAACGCCGTCTTGGGGCTGTCCTTGGAATGGAAGATGCGGATCTGTGTGGTTGCTCTAAACTAGATACACGGTGAATAGGTGTAGATTGTTTGCGGTTGCATTCCTCCAGGACAGCCTGACAGCCTTGTGCGATTTGAGGAATGGGACGGGGAGATCAGGGGTTCTGCGTTGAAAGTCCAGCAGCTGCTAGAACACGTGCTCATGCTTATGTTATGGTAGGGGCGGGACACTTGCATTCCTGGACAGTTTATGCAAAAGTCTATATCAGCTACTACAGCAAGCGTCCAACAGACCAGTTTCGTGGTCCCAATGTTGTGGAAGCAGAGGAGGCAGACAAGGTGGCAATGTTTCTTTGTGCTTCTCTGGGCACGGGACGGTTGCACCTGTAGGGGCATTAGGCGATCACTCATAGCCTCACACTTCCTCACACCCCCCTGCTTGGATTTTGAATAGGTGTGGTGCCGTAGTGTGCAGGAAAGGATTTCCAATAGAAAAAGGAAGGGCAGTGGAAGGGAGCTGCAAAGTTTGTTGCACCCTGCCCGCCCGCCCCAGTTTGGGGAATGCGCTGAGGGCTTGAGAGTTGAGCAGCATTTGTCTCCCCCAGCGAAGGGTGATTCAGCCAGGTGCCAGGCCCAGGGTGCCCTGTGGCCTGGCACCTGAGCCAACATAACTTTTGTCGCCAATGCCGCGTGTGATTGGGCTGGGAACACTGCTTAAGTTTTTAGGTTTTGGGGGAAGTTTGTTGGGGTTAAGATGGAAGCTGTGGGGTGTTTGAGTGATAAGCTTGATGATGCCATACGCCATGGAGTGGTAGAAAGGGATTTGCTCCGGCACCATGGAGTTTTTAGTTGGAGCGTGCACCAGCATTGGGTGAACTACATGCTGAATTTGCTGAGCAGGCCGGTCCATCCAGGCTTCCAGCAGGTCAAGCTTTATCAGCTGGTCAGAGCTGACAGGGAGCTTTGGACATTGCTTGCCCAAGAAATTGCAGGTAGCTTGAAGATGGATGGCAATGAGGTGCCGCTGGACAAGCACGTCACAAGGCTGTCAATTGCCCCACGGGTCACCATGCTACTGCTGCCGCTGCCAGCGAACCAAAAGGTTGTTGAGGTGCCCGACAAGCCGAGGCCAGCTCCAAAGGCAGCTCCTGTGAGACCAGCACCAAAGGGCTCGACCAAGCACAAAACGCGTGCAGAGAGGAGTTGCCCGAAAGAGTTGAGGCAATACACTACGAAGGTCGCAGCAGGACAAATCTGTTGGAGCTACAATGCTACAACATGAAGGATGGTTGCCAGTTGGCCACAAGTGGCAAGCCAGCAAAGTGCTCACGTGGTTTGCACTTGTGCGCTTGTTGTCACAAGGCCGGGCACTCGCTGGTCGTGTGCCGTGATGCAAAGAAGGGTTGACAAACCAGCCCCACTGGACCACCTCTTAAGTTTCGTAGAGAGAGGGAGGAAAGTTCAGGTGGGAGAGCCGAAAGTGATGCACTTCCAACGCAGAGTGATGGCAAATGCCACCATGCACCTGATGTTCCCACCATCTCCGAAGAGGAGAACTTCACTGCGATGGGGGAGCCGAAACCCCATCTGTTTTCATTGCAGAAACCGAGGAAATGCGAAACAGAAACGCTCGTGTTCAATTCAATTGCAATCGGATTTTTTCTGGGATGTCTTTGGGAGATTTGTACATGATTTGTGCTGGTTCTGCAAGGCTATCCAAGGTGGCACACGAGTGCGGGTTCAGGACGATGGCCATCGACCATTCAGCTGCTAGAACATGTGGTTTTCCAATCCGTGTTGTTGATTTGACTGATGCGGACGAGTTGGTGTCCCTGGTACAATTATATTGAAGAATCAGCTGACTCCATTTTAGGCATCTGGATAGCATCTTCATGTGGAACTTGCAGCAGAGCGAGAGAAAAACGATTTGCTTTGGAGAAAGCGGGTCTGAAGACTCCAATTCCATTGAGGTCCACGTCACAGCCTGATCAACTTGACGGACTCAGTGGACTTGACAAGATCAAAGTGGTAAAGGCAAACATGCTTTATGAATCAGTGTACGTTGTTTCTGCACTAGCTTGCTCATTGCACATTTTCCTGGCAATTGAAAACCTAACCAACTCGCATTACTGGCACACCAGTCCCATGCGGAGACTTTGCAATGAGCATGAACACCACTACGTGACGTTTCATAACTGTGCACACGGGTGACCGCGACAAGTCCACCTCTTTGTGGGTCAATGACAACTGGCTGGACTCCTCGGGGCTTCTTTGTGATAAGAAGCATCAACACAAACCTTGGACCACCACCATGCGGAATGGAGCAGTACGCTTTGCTACAGCAGAGGAAGCAGCATACCCTGTGCTGCTTTGTGAGAGAATCGTGCATCGCCTACGTGACAAGGCGCTACAGTGTGGAGCAACAGCACCTGAGACGCTCTTCGAGCAAGCAGAAGGGCCTGACCCTTCACCACTGACACAAATTGTGCTTGGTGCTTTACTTCGAGGACACCGAGTCAAACCATTAGTGGCGGAATTTGGCACCTACTTGACAGTTTTTGCTAATCCACAAAAACCCGATGATTTGGAAAAGTTTCTCACGACCCTTCCAAAGGGCGCCAAAGCAGTCTCGTGCCACAATGTTACGGGGGGTGATCTCCAGGCTGCTTGACAGGATGCAAAAAAGCTGTTTTTCTCAATGTCAATGACCATACAACTGTTGAAAAGATCCACATTGGGGCCCCCAGTGAGCCAGATGATTTTCTTGAAAGGGCCATCCTAGCAGGCCACCCATGAAGTTTGGAGCAGTACATAGACCCACAGGTCGAGAGCATGATCCATGCCAACTTCACTGCTGAACCATCTGTGGTTGCAAAAAAGCGGGTTAATTTTTCAAGAAGTATGTGCAGCATGCCTCTGAACTTTCGGACCAGGAAAAAGAACTGAGGCGCAAGATGCCCCAGCATGTCTTGAAGTTGGTTGGGAACAAGCGCTTGATCCTTTGGAAAGAGATTCTCAGTGACTATGGGTATCCTGACACAAACTTGATAGACGACATTGCAGCGGGCTTCAAACTAAGTGGACGGATGCCAAGATCTCATGTCTTCAAAACCAGGACAAAGAGACCATCCATGAGCTTGGACAGGTTTGGCAAAAGCTTTGAACGCCTCCACATTCAGAAACATGGATGTCAGACAGGACCCCGAGTTGGAGGCCGCAACTTGGGAAGAGACTGAAGAGGAAGCCAAAAAGGGATGGATCTGGTTTGATGACAGTGCATATGACAGCAACCAAAAATTCATTGGGAGGCGCTTCGGAATCAAACAGTCCAATAAGACCAGAGTCATTGATGACTGTTCTTGCCGTGGGCTAAACTGGACGGTTGGGTTGCATGAAAGTTTTCAGCTGGCAGTCCATCGACATATTGGCCTCCATCATAGCCGAAGCCTTCAAAAACCCCGACTCAGGTTCTTTCTCTTTTGTTTTTGGAAGGTGCTACGACCTGAAAAGCGCGTACAAGCAATCTGCTGTGCACCCAATTGACAGGAATCACTTGCGCATGGCCGTTAGGTCGCCAGTAGATGGCGCCATCAGACTGATAGGCTTCGACGCCTTGCCTTTTGGAGCTGTTGGGAGCGTGGCAGGATTCTTGAGAGTGAGCCTAGCAGTTTGGTTCATAGGTGTGGTTGCACTTCAACTTTGCTGGACTGTCTTCTATGATGTTGTTACTCCTGAAAGGATAATGACTTTATTTTCGACAGCAAAAAATTTGCCTTGTTTGTAAGGCAAATTAAACCGCTGGCAACCAAAACCCCTTTTTACCAGTTTTGTGTGTTGTTTGTTTGTGTTGTTTGCTGAGAAATTCGAAACCAAACACAAACACTGTCACTCCGTTGGAGATCACTTTAACTTTTTGTTCTCCACGCGTTTTTTGGTTCAAGTGGTGGGTGGTGGGTAACTTAATTTGTTGACCCCTCAAAAGGCTTAGCTGGGGGGTCGTGTTGAGGGTGTGTGGTACTACTATGGTTGGCGAAGTTTCGAGAGTTCGGCAGCGGGGACGCGTTGCCATAGCTTCTGCTGTGTGCCTGCAGCCAGTGCCAAAACCTGTGTTCGTTTGGACCTGGACTCAATTCTTGTGTGCTTTTACAACTGGAGTCATTTTCACATTTGTCGGCATTTTCATTTGTTTTTTTGCACTTGGAAGATTGATGGTTCGATTGGGGCCCCAGAACACTGAATTTTTCGTCGATCAGAGAGTGCTTCATCGCCCTCTTCTTTGTCACGTCATTTCTTCAACTGATATCAGACAGATGTGCTCTCGGGCGCTCTGGCGGGCCCGAGTGATGTCGTACCTGCAAAGTCTGAAGCCTTGGAAAGATCTCAGAGTTCTCTTCAGCAAGTTGAAGTTACGAATGCAACCAGTTTCAAATTTGAACTTGTTTTTACATGTTATGCGTAACACCGTGACCAGTCCATTTGATTTGCCCTGGGAGACAGATGAGTGGTCGCGCCTTTTGACCCTGACAGAGACATCATGGACTTCTTGCTCCCTTCGTTTGCATTTGGGCAGTCAGATGTGACATCGGGATCTCCAGCAAGTCCGAGAGATGTCGGGCCTTCACAGCCTGAAGCCTTGGTATTACCTGAGAGTCCTTTTCAGTGAGTTGACTTTTCGAATGCTGCCAGTTTTTAATTTCCAACTTGCATTCACAAGCCATTTGTAACATTATAGACAGTCTTTTCATTTTGCCCAGGGAGACAGACGAACGGTCATGTGTGTTTGAGCCTGACAGAGACACCATGGAAGCTTTGCGGCCTTCGTTTGAACCTAAGTTGAAAGCTGTGAGACTCTCTCATGTGGATGATGAACCAGTCGCAAGGGTAGACAGTTCTGCAGACACAAATGCTCACGAAAAAACTGATTTTTCAGGTTGCAGTTCCGTGCAGACATGACATGTTGTGGACGGAGAAAGGGGAGGCTGAATCGCAGCGTTGCCCGAAGAAGTGGTATGCCATTGTTTTCAATTAGCCTGACAGCTGTGTTTGCAAGCAAGAACTGCTCGCATGCGACAAGTCCTCAGAGGGCTTGGAACTTCTTGGCTATCATTTGACCGGCAAGTCACCAGCAACTTTAGTCAAACGTGCAAACAGCCTGACTTTCATGCAGAGCATGTTGCAACAGTTGGAATATTTTTTGGCCTACGCCAGAATCAGATTTTAACAGGTTTTTGAAGAAACTGGAGAGAGAGGGTTAGTCGCCTAGCAGTCCCAAGCCTGGAGGCGGACACGTCCAGCGGATATTCCCTTCACCTTCCTGAGTTGCATGAATTGACAATCAGTCATCGGTGGCTTGGAGCTGTAATGGATGAGTTGCCAGGTGAGGTGAAACAGGCAGAACAACTTACTGTTGCTGATGTCAAACGATGGCACTGGGGTTTGGAACATGGCGATGTTTGGGACATTTTTTTTTTCAGCGGTGCTGGTTTGTTTTGCATTTGTCCGAGAGCCCGTTGGAGTGACTTCATCCACGGCAACTGTTTACGGCTTGACACCCAGAGGGATTGCCAAATTGTATATGCAGACATGGAAGTGCAGACCCATAAAATCATGAGGGCAGCTGCAAACCGCTCCAAGTTTTTGGGACCTGGTAGTGTCTGGAATTGGAATGGCTGGGCATAACTGGATCAAGCATTGGCTTGAAGGTCTCAGATACATTGGCATGGACCCATTGAACGGTGTCATTGGATTGTCGTTGATGCCAACGCCTGGTAATGATGGCCAGGCACTGCAACGCTCACTGGAGAGCGATGAAGCGAGCAGGATAGCAGATGTTTATGATAGAGAGACTCAAGCAAGGTGCATCAGGTCGATTGACAGACTGCTGGTCAAGATTAAGACTGGCTACTTGACTTGGACGCAAACAGAGCTGGGAGAGGTCACAAAATTTTCAAGATGAATCAGAAGTTTTAGGTGCAGAACACTCTTTGGATGATGCTTCCGTGGGGCATGATGTTTCCACTGAAGTGTGCAAAACTTTGGATGAGGCAGAAAAGGTTGCGCTGGCACCAGATTAACAACTGGAGGAAGGGCACATCACCAGCTCTTCCTCGGAGAGTGAGTCAGAGAGTGTGAATTTTCTGCGTCCATGAGAGTGTTCAGGCCACTGGTGGCCCTAGAGGGATTCGAGTTTGTGCAGAACAAACGCACAAAGACGTTGCACTTGGTTGACCATAGGTACACCAGTGGAACGTATTGTGGCAGAATCCTTGACGGCAATGAATAACGCCGACAAAGCTTAGATATGACTCTGCAACTTGTCATGTGTGCAAGAGGCACAGGAGGTGACAGGGGTTGCATGTCGCTGAAACCAACAGCGTCTTAGCTGGGTGGAAAACTGGAATTCAGTGCGAGACAACACACCATTTTGAGGTGGTTCATCCACTCAAGGGGTTGGCTGTTGTTGTGGCATGTTCCTGAAGGGGTTTTTCTCTGTGACCAAGATTGCAAGGCATTTAAGAAAGTCGGGTGGTGCATCCACCGATTGCCGCAGATAATTTTTAAACCCATTCCCGGTTGGCGTGATGGCTCCAAGATGTGAGTGGTTAAACCATCACAACGATAGTAACGAGACAAACCACCGTGGAACCATTTGGAAGCTGAAACGCAAACAGAATCTGACCTTTTATTTTGTAAACGCAAGACGCCGAAACACATCAGGGTTCATGTGACATACTTCATTGGTTGAGATGAGCAGCAAACATGTTTTTCATGTCATGCAGTGATTTTATTCAGTAACCTCAGCAACGCCTGGCCATGACACTCATTGACTCGAAGGCTGCTTTTCGACAGAGGTGTGTCGAGTTGTCGACGGCTACACCTTCCCTGTTTGCATCAGTTCGTTTTCAGAATTGGGATTTGCATGTGGCACACCAAATCGGGCGCCAACAGATGAGGAGTTCAAGGCGTTGTCAGACACTGTGTTAGGGGGTGGTGCAACGGCAGGCCGGAGCAGTTTGCTTAGGCGTTTACACTTTGAGTCAGCAACTTTGGTGTTGTCACACTTAAAGACAACAGTGAACAGCGAGACAATTGATGGAATCAGAAAGCTGCCCTTTGCAGAAAAGCAGGCCAGGTATGCCAAGGTGAAGACAACAATCCAAGGATTTTTGATTCAAGGCGAAACAGAACCTTCGCATGCGCTGGTTGACAAGTGCCAGGTGATGTTTGATACAAATTCAGTTGTTTGGCTGGCCCCTTCAGTTTGCACGAAGCGCGAACTTGAGATTCAGGCCGCACCGAAAGACAATCAGCAGGTCCTGAAGATTGAATCGCAGACACTTAAGGTCAGCACTGAAGGCGTGGAACTTGAAGACGCTGATCACAGTTCTGAAATCAAATTACAATGGTGTTGGCAACGCAGAGGGGTAGCATTAGAAATGTGTGAAATTCTGTCCTGGCAGACGTCTCAAAAGTGGCTTTCAACGATGTTTGCAGTTTATGCTTCAGAACCTCCTGCCAATTTCAGCAGGGTAACGTTGACTCAGTTGATTTCAGCTGACAAAGCTTTGTGGACAATTTTGGCTAGAGAGACAGAATCAGTGAAGCCGGATGCAACAGGGAGCAGACCTCTGGATGCAGCAGTTGAGAAGCTCATGTGTGATCCCCGGGTCACTATGCACATGCTGTCAATGCCTCATAAGGCACCAGCAGCTCTCGCTTCGACAGCTCCGGACAAACCTTCATCTGGGGCCCAAACCAGCCATGCAGCTCAGACGGGGGTTAGACTAAAAAAGAAGGCGCGTCCAGGAAAGCGCAACAGGGCGACGGCAACACCGCCTGAAGAACTCAAGTCATGCTACCAGACAACATCGGACGGGAAGCCCATTTGCTGTGCCTACAACTTGGGCAATGGGTGCGGTTTGAATACAACAGGGCAACCACCACGTTGTACAAAGGGCGTCCATATGTGCTCCTTCTGCAGGCGTGTGGGGCATTCTTTTCAGGCATGCAAGGCTGCACCTAAAAAGCAAGGAGGCTGACTCACGACATTGGACAGCCATGAGGAGATTGCAGCGAAAGCTGATGGAAAGAAACGAATTCAATAGACGAGCATGGTGCAGGTGAACATCACGCTGGAAGCCATGCCGATGGTGTCACTCAGAAGGATTTGCACAGGATAAAACTATACGAAATCAACTGTTTGAAAACATGTTGGTGCTGGAGATCTTTGCAGGTTCTTTAAACCATACCATTGAGATCAGAATTGAATAGCTAATCTCAGGGATGTCGCAGTGGACAAAACGGTTGGCAAGGCCAAAGGCCCCATCTCAGCTTTGGATTTGACGGTGGATGAAAATGTGCATTTTTTGGCAATATTTGTGTAATACATTTTTCACCATCTTGTGGCACTTGTTCTGCTGCGCGGAAAAGAGGGCATCATGAACAACTTGCGCAGCGGCATAATGGGCGGTGAGCGTGACACAAACAGCTCGGTGGTGCAATGATGGTTTCTTCAACTCTTTCTTAGCTTTTCGGTTTGGGATGTACACGAGACCACATACATTAACCATGGCCACCCCCCATCACTGCACATGGAGTATATCACAGCTCTGCGAACCGATCACTGACTTGATCGTTGAAGAGTTGGGTACATGCGGTTTGGTGCGCGCAGAGACTTTCATTGAACAAAGTACAACCGAACCGCAACAGATCGGCCAGTTTCAGCGGCAACGGGGATATGACCAAGAAGACAGAAACTATGTCCTTGGGTACGTGAATTCTGCAACTAGGGCAAATTTACCATACACCCAAATTTCAACAAAGACAAGATAGTCGACCAGCAACTGAAAGGTGCAATAATACCCATGAGGAAACGTCTGAAGTGGGGTGATGTGCGTGTTTCCTCGACAGGGGGTGAGGCCAGAAATGGGGTGACGTGCGTGTTTCCTAGACTACATAGCTGCTCGTGTTTCCTCGACAGGGGGTGAGGCCAGAAGTGGGGTGACGTGCGTGTTTCCTCGACTACATAGCTGCTACACTGATCAACACGCTGGCCTGTGGCGCTTGGTAGCCTGACCTTGAGATTGGTAGAAAAATTGACTTGATGTCTACATACGAACCGTATCCACTCCATGATGTCGACCGAGAAAGCTTGAGGATAGCCATACAAGATCCACAAGCAGAGACTCCCAGACTCTTTGGGCCGAACACTCTGCCCCTTGTTGTGGCGACCAACAGTGTGGCAAGCTTTCTTCGTGTCAGCGCGGCCTCGTTCTTCATTTTCACCACGGATATCAAGATTTGGTGCAGAGCTTCTTTGATGGTTTCCTGGCTTTGGAAACCACTACCTTTTCCAGCAATTTAGAGAAGTGCGTTGGACGGTTGGTCGACCTGCTGGGTGTCGAGGTTGACAGTACAGGTGAGAAGTGCCTGCATTCTTGGAGGTATGTGGTGGCTTACATTGACAACGAAGCCAGCCGCCAAGCTTTGATAAAGGCCTACTCGTCCAACGTGCTTGGAAATATAATTGTAAGAATGTTTGTCAGCCTCGAGGACAACACCCAATAGCAGATTTGATTTGGAAGGTTGGATCTCACTCGAATCCTTCAGTGACCCCAGCCGTTTGCATGTTGAAGACAACTTGTGTTGAGTGGGCCGTCCAGGACTCATCAGCATTCGGAAGGTTGGATTTCACTCGAATCCTTCAGTGACCCCAGCCGTTTGCATGTTGAAGACAACTTGTGTTGAGTGGGGCCGTCCAGGATTCATCTGCTCGGGACGTGGTCTTAATGTCAGTCGATGATACTTTGCACGAGTTTGGAAGGGGGTAAATGCGGGTGCAGTATCCGATTCCACCTTCGGCTTGGCAGAGTGACATGTGAGACCACCCCTGTGCGCAGAAAAAGAGAGGTGCTGACCGAGTGAACATTAAAGCAATTCATTGCATGTCCATTTTCGATTCCACATGTTTTTTTTGAGTGAAGCCACCATGTCTTTGCACTTCCAAGTGCTCATTTCCGGAAGATTCGTTTTTATTTATTTGGAGATCCAGGCGCGGAATTTTTACGAAGATGTTTATTTTCGTTTTGTGATGCGGTCAGAATATATATCCTGACGTGTCAGAAGATATGCCCTGATCTCTCTGTGTAAACTCCCTGGTTTGGTTGCGGTTGGTTTTGCTTAGGGAATAAGTTGTTACTCCTGAAAGGATAATGACTTTATTTTCGACAGCAAAAAATTGCCTTGTTTGTAAGGCAAATTAAACCGCTGGCAACCAAAACCCCTTTTTACCAGTTTTGTGTGTTGTTTGTTTGTGTTGTTTGCTGAGAAATTCGAAACCAAACACAAACACTGTCACTCCGTTGGAGATCACTTTAACTTTTTGTTCTCCACGCGTTTTTTGGTTCAAGTGGTGGGTGGTGGGTAACTTAATTTGTTGACCCCTCAAAAGGCTTACCCCCCCACCAACACCCTCTTTTGAGGGGACTGAACTTTTCATGCTGCGAGCAGCGCGTCGAGCTCAAGCAGATCATGTGAGGATTCTGCTCCAACAACTTTTATTTTTCTACCGGGTCAAACTCACAGCTCTCCAACTGCAATACCAATTGGAAGAGACCATGGATGATCTGGAAGATCTGGGATTCGAAGGACAACTTCTCCATGGCATTTTACATGCCACCCACGCGGAGTTGCAACGTTTCATTGCCCGCTGCACTCAGGCAATGGTGACAACTGAAGATCGAATCCTCCATACCTTCTTGAGATAACACAGACAATTTTCATCTCTGCCTCACCCACGGCCGTGAATGCGGGTGCAGTATCCGATTCCACCTTCGGCTTGGCAGAGTGACATGTGAGACCACCCCTGTGCGCAGAAAAAGAGAGGTGCTGACCGAGTGAACATTCAAGCAATTCATTGCATGTCCATTTTCGATTCCACATGTTTTTTTTGAGTGAAGCCACCATGTCTTTGCACTTCCAAGTGCTCATTTCCGGAAGATTCGTTTTTATTTATTTGGAGATCCAGGCGCGGAATTTTTACGAAGATGTTTATTTTCGTTTTGTGATGCGGTCAGAATATATATCCTGATGTGTCAGAAGATATGCCCTGATCTCTCTGTGTAAACTCCCTGGTTTGGTTGCGGTTGGTTTTGCTTAGGGAATAAGATCATAGTGTCTTGAGCAGAGAAGAGTTGCTAGGCAGCACCGCTTGGAGTGTTGAAACCTTGTTCGACCTCTTGGGCCTGACGTATGCCAAAGAAGGGAAGAAGTTCATGCCGTTCGACCACAAGTTCAAAATGCTTGGGCTTGAGGTTAACCTAGAGAGCTGCAAAGACCGAACTGTGTCCATTGGGCACACTGAAGAGCGCCGTGCGGAGCTTGTGGCCAAAGTCAAGGACATATTGGCCGAGGGTTGGTTGGGCGCAAAAGAAGCTGAAAGACTTCGAGGTCGCGTGTCCTTCTTTGAGAGTTATGCTTTTGGTAGGTTGGCAAATGCAGCAATCAAGAACATCGGAAGATTTTGTGTGGAGACCTCGGGCAAGAAACGCTTGGACGCATCCATTCAAGGAAGCCTTCTTCTTCTCGGAGATCGTGTTTTGGAAGCGCCTCCAATCACTATAGGCAGACCCCTTGGAGACACTTGGATTGTTTTTACGGATGGAGCATGCAATCCAGAACGCAAGACCGGCAGTGTTGGGGGTCTGACAATATCGCCTCTGGGAAATTGCCAGTCCTTCTTTAGTGATGTTCAAACTGTCTTGCGATCCAATTCACGAGTTGGAGGTGCTGCCTGTCTTCATTGCTTGTTTGGAATGGGGACGCCGTTTTGAGGGGGCGCTCATAGTGTACTACATTGACAACGAGCCAGCAAGGATGGCTTATGTGAAAGGGAGCGGAGAGGCTTGCTCTGACCTGGTTCGAAGGAAATGGTGCTAGCCGAACCAATTTGAATTGGGAGAGGCTAAGACATCACCTTGGATTAGGTGGGGAGATGCCGGATAGGCAATGATTACGCCCCATCTGTTGGAGAAAAAGGCTGCGCATCTTTTTTTCCATTCCTCAGCTGTCAGTTGTGCAAACGTTTTTCGATGTGAATCGCTTGTTTTTGAATTTTCGGCGCAAAGACGATTTACAATTTTTGCGACAACGTTTTGATGGCATATGTGACGTGGAGTGTTTCATATTTACACACGCGTACATATATATATATATGTTTGAGTTTGTGTTATCAATAGATATCCGTCAACGCTGTGCCCGTATGCGCATCTGCGGTACGTGTAAGCGTAGTGCTAGTGTGTGTGTGTGTGTTGTGCATTGCAGAGTTGGAAATAAGTTAAGGGGTCGCGATGGGTTAAGTGTTGAGTCCCAAGAAAATCCCCCAAAGTGTTCGCCTGCGAACAACGAAGCGGGATTTGATGGGACCCCCCTCTTCATGATTCTTGTTTTGGGGATATAAAGCTTTTGGGGGACTCTTGGTTCACTTGTTCCATTCTTGTGATTTGCGACTACTTTTTGTGTGGAAGATGCGGATCTGTGTGCGATTGCTCTAAAGGTGACAGGGGGTGAACAGGTTTGGATGGTTTGCAGTTGCATTCCTCCAAGATTGCCTTGTGTGCGGTTGCACTGGGTTGGTGTTTTGTTTGCCCCCGCCCTCCCTCCCTGGTTTTGGGGAGAGTAGAACTCGCCTCGCCTTGGATATACACTAGCTGGTTGATCCTGTGTGAATCACAGGTGGGGACCGGGTTTAGCTAGTGTAAGGTTTGGCCCCGGGTTTGAGTCTTGTTGTTTTCCACCACCGTGAAAAAAAGCGAGCCCTGCGCGTGTGTGCGAGTTAGTTGAGCAAACAGTGCATCTTCCATCAGTTCAAGTTAAGGGGTCGCGATGGGTTAAGTGTTGAGTTCCGTTTCTTTGCTCCCGTTGCAGCAAAAGCAGTCAAGATTCTGATGCGGGGAGCCAAACCATGGGGTTACTTTGGCTTGTCAGCTGCTGCCGGCGTGAGCGCGCCTTATTCCTTCATGCTGGTCAGTGGCGGCCCCGGCAGTTCGCGAGCGGTGCGTGGTGTCTTCTGGCCACGGCCTTAACGCAGAGCCGTGCTTGGATGCAATTGTCGCAGGAGATGGCCGTGATGTGTTCACATTTACTAGCGAAGGATCGTTGCAGACTGCGTCCGGGTATTGCGTGCGCTTGGCTGGCGACAAGCTTTAATTGGAAAAGTGTGATGGAAGACATTTGCTTGCAAATTAGAATAACACGGGTTAGCTGTGTCAGCTGCAGCCAAACTTGCTGTGCAGAGTTGCTGTGTCAGCTGCAGCCAAGCTTGTTGTGCAGTGTATGCACTTGTGATTTTTGCCCCGCCCCCCCAACCCATTTGCTGACCAAGTTTAGCTAAGCCTGAGGGCTTGTGCTGGGCAGCTGCCTCTGGCTGCCTGCCAAGGTCAGCTGCCAGGTGTCAAAAAAGTGTATGCTGCATGCTGCTTAGCTGGCCACATGCTTACCAGTGTTAGCTGTACAGGGATGTGGGAAGTGAGCGCTGGCTGTGGATGGCTCTGCAGTCCATGCCTTGGCCTTGGAAAGATTGAGCTGACGCAGTGCTGTTGATGCTGTTGAAGTTTTGTTTTGGCCGGTTATGAAATAGGGATGTGAACTTTGGCAGGCAGGTCGACAAGCAGGGGCGAAAAGGGAGATCCGATAGCACCCTTGGGTTGTGCGGTTACCTAGTCTTGTTGTTTTTGGGAGCCTCGTCTTTTCGGTGATGATTTGGTTTAGGTTGAATTCATAGTAGTTTCTTGGTAAAGAGGGGGTAAGGCCGCGGAGTGACTTCATGATGTCATATTGGGCCATGTGGTTGCAGGAGTGCAAGTGGGATGTGCGGTTCTTTTGGCAATGGTCCTGGACTATTGTAATGTACTGTTGAGATTGAGTCTCTAGATTGTCATGAGTTTCATGGTGTTGTGATAGAGTTAGGATCTCTATGCTGTCATGAGGGTTCATGATGTCACTGGCCATGTGGATTCATGGCAGTTGTGCTAGCGGGCCACTAGCGGTTTTTAGCGTAACGGATTGGTTGCGCGATTGGCGTAACGGCTTCATTGCGCGATACTTGGTGTTCAGTTTTCTTGAGCATCCGCCCGCCCGCCCGCCCTGGAGTTTTAGGGTCAGCGGCGTGGCTGATAACGTTTGACCGTGGTTGACGGTTGTGTTGAACTGCATGGTTTGATGGTGCAGATAATTTGATCTGCATGGTTTACAGTTGCAGTAATTCTTTCCGCCACACCTTCGAATGAAAACAGGGCGCGAGCTCCGGTTTGTTCACCAGGGTTTGCTGAGTTTGGATACCATTTCAGTAATGATGGATCCCTTGGTTCGGGGAATCTGAATGAAATTGTTTTTCTTGTGGACTTATCGGTTTTAACTTGGACTGGGACTACCTGTGCTAGGATTGCTAGGATTTGTGTGCGGTAGGGCGGTAGGGTCCCGGGGGATAGGATCACTGCGCGGTAGGATCCCGAGTTGACCATTGTTGTCTACATGGGCTGGCGACCTTGTATAGGTTTCTACGTGGGATCCCCAGTCGTAGTCATGGTTCTGCCTAATGAACAGATGTTCATTGCTACATAACAATTTGATTTCTTCTTTTGGCGTTGTTGTGTGAAATTCAGTGAGGTTGGGTGCCATATTTGTCACGAAACGCATAAAGGTTTTATTGTTTAGTTACCTTGGCAAACCGGGTGTGATCCAATCATGATTGTTTTGATGCCTTGCTTTTCTTGATATTGCTGAGTAAAGCCCGTTCTTGTCTTTGGGAAAAGCATGTCGTTGGCTGTTGCAAGCAACAAAGTGGAAGTTGAAAACGGCGCAGCTGGCGGCATGGACATTTTTGGCGCAAAGGGGTCTCTTCACAGAAATGCTTGCGTCGAAGGGCTTTGTTGCGCCCAGGGATCTTTTGTGTGTAACGGGGCCTGCGTTTGGAGCATCCAGCGGTGGAAGCATGACGTATTCTCTTGTGTTTCGTTTGGTGCTAGTGCTGACCTTGGCTTCCCCTATGAGCTGTTTGAAGCTGTTGCCACCAGGCTGGTCCTGCCCCTGCGCAGCGCAGTTTGAGATTCAGAAGCGTATGGAGCCACCTCTGCCCAGGTATCAAATCGGCTTTGCTAGGTGCTGCTGCTGACCAAGCAGATTTCACTGTAAACATAGTGCCGCCCCAAGAAAACCCGCGCGACACAGAACGGGTTTCTGTGGAAAAGCGCTTGGGGTGCGTGTCCTTTTCGGTGTTTTTCAAAGGAGTTGGAGGCATTGCTGCAGGACGGTTTCTAGTTGTAGATGGGGTCTCAGGCATCGTTCTTGCTTGTCAGAATGAGAAAAAGCTAGCGGCCGCGGATGTCGAACACCTTTCCATGTTGCAGCAGAAGATGCTGCGAGCAGAAGAGCTGCAGATTGATGAGATGGTGTCGCAAGCTTTTCTGGGGAAAAAGGCGCTTCTATGAAGTAATGTCACTTCTTGTCCCATCCGCAAGCAACATTGCGCCGAGTGCCTCAGCCTCACTTTAGACATAGAATGTGATGGTATTGCTACTTTTGCTTAAGTAAGTTTCCTGATGCTTGTGTAGGGAGAAACAAAATGATCGCTTGCAAAGAAGCGGGATTTGACGGGAACCGCCGTCTTGGGGCTGTCCTTGGAATGGAAGATGCGGATCTGTGTGGCTGCTCTAAACTTGATACACGGTGCATAGGCGTGGATTGTTTGCGGTTGCATTCCTCCAGGACAGCCTTGTGCGATTGTATTTAGGTTGGTTCCCTAAACAACACTGAGGGGCTCTTACGGTCAAGGTGAGGGAGCAACTCATTTCAAAGAAATGATGATCCCCTTATTTGTATAGATGAGGAAAAATTTTGTGCTGACAAAATCAGGTTGGGTGTTTGTTGTTTCTACTGACCTTGTTTCACACCTGTGCGTAAATCGGGAAAAACAAACCAGACGTGAAATTCACGTTTTCTCAAAACCAGAAAAGGCTCTTGATTTTTGGTTTGAGTTCTTGTGAGGTTTTTGAACAACATGTCAAACCTCACATCACATGCGACATAATTTATATGTGCGCGCACCCTCAAACCAGGGTGGGTGAGGTGGGTTTTCACTTCACTTTTGAGTGGTCGTGAATTTTAGCATGGGGGTAGCTTTCAGCCATGGATGCTCTGACAGATGTTGACGGCCTAAATCCTGAAGGGACAGAACAGCCGTGTGAGAACCCAGAGACCTCAAAACACTGGATTTCTCGACAGTCATGATGAACTAATTGGTGTTGTTTCTGGAGACAAACTTGAGACACAGTGGCACGTGGTTTCTACTGATCTGTTGGGTTTGCGGCAGCAGGATGATGTTAGCTACACACCATCAATACCGACTGACTTTTCTGGGTACTTACCTGATTTTTCTGCAGATGAAGATTTGAATCCTGAGTCAGTTGTTCAAGCGGCTTGGAAGAGCCTAGCAACGGAAGTTCCCAAGTTGCCTTGGGAGCGAAACTTTTGGGACAAGTTTTTGGACACCAATGTATCTGCAAAGGACATGCTGGAAAGAGGATACAAAAGACCTATGCCTGCACCTTTTTGGCAGGATTCTCAGAGTGCACCTTCGGCTGAAGTGGAAAGAAGAGTTTTTCCAAAACCTTCCCAAGCGGTTAAGGGCTTTCTACAACATGTCAGGGACATTCCTGAACGTAGCTGGCAAGAAGAACGTGAAGCAGTTTGGGAAACAGCAGTCAGACGATGGGTGGCTCTCACAGATGGTAATTTCTGCTTGCAGACAATACTTTCTCTCTGGCGTACTAAACAGGGCTATTGTATTGACACCTGCACTTTTCAGTGCAAGAAACAACACTACAGCTGCACTTGCATAAGCCCTTTATGGTATGTGTGTTTCAGCTGCTGCCCTGTGGATGTTTGTTCAGCAGCTTGCAGTGGATGAATGCATCGGGCTTGATCATTTGTGAAACCCCACCCTCCCAACCCCTTGTGTTGCCCAAGTGCAACTGGCTCTATGCGGGGGCTATGATGTGCTGGTCTCTGCTGGGGTTGTCCAGCAGAGCCAGCATGTGGCAGCTATCCATTTGAAAAAAGGGGGCGTGCATTGCAGCTTAGTGTTGGTAAACGCACTGTTCATGAAGTTGAAATTAGTGCTGAAGTTGAACGCAAAAGGAAAGACAGGATTGCTCAGCAGGTTTTTGATGCCACATTGATTTTGAGTCGAAACGAGAAGATGGTGCCGGCCATGCAGGTTGGTATACCCAAACTGGACTTGGTGTCAGATCTTTTCAGACTTCCGTCGTTGGGAAGGCTTGCGCACATTGAGAATGCCATGCATGATGAGACGCTGAACCGACAGGCAACAACAAGCTTGAGTGGAGGTCTGCCTTTTTCTAAGAGGCGGCTGTTGACTGCAAAGCTGGCCAAGTCAGATGATGAGCTGCTGACCTCAGCCCTGCGGAAGTTGCGCAACTTGGTACTGTACTGGCCAGAGGACAGCAAACTGGGCAGAGCGCTGCTAACTTCGGCAGGCGCAGTGGTGGGGGAGGATGTCCTCCAGCAGTCCCTCAAAGACTGCTTTGCTGGTAAAGCAGTTGCGACATTGGTGAAGCGTGCTGCAGATTTTACCAGGTTTGCTGAATGGATGATACAGACTGGACGTGGGAGATATCCATGTTGCGTGCCAGTGGAGCAGGTGCCACAGCAGGTGAGTCTTTCCTGTCTGCATGGCGGTTCATGGTGCACACCATTGGAGCGGGACAGGCTTCCAACAATGATTTGATTTCTGGCAGGGTGCTGGGTGCAACCAAAGATTTGGCATCAAAGAAGAGGGCTTTGCATCAAGCGCCGCCCCTCACTGCAGATATGGTATGGAAACTGGAAGGCTTGATGGCAGCACCTATCTCTCAGAGGTTCAAAGCAATCCTAGGGTTTTTGCTGTTTTGCCTTTATTCTTGCTGTCGATTTGGAGACGGCACCAGGGCCCACGAACCTACTTTGTCTCAGTTTCAGCACATCATTTTGGTTGAGACTGCATGTTCCGAATACAAAACAGCCACCG